CCCAAACCCTAAACCCGACACCCCAAACCCCGAACCCCAAACGCTAAACCCTACACCCGAAACCCCAAACGCTAAACCCCAAACCCTAAACCCTAAACCCCAAACCCTAAACCCTACACCCCAAACCCCAAACCCCAATCCCTACACCCCAAACCCCAAACCCTAAACCCTAAACCCTAAACCCCAAACCCCAAACCCTACACCCCATACCCCAAACCCTAAACCCTAAACCCCAAACCCCAAACCCTACACCCCAAACCCTAAACCCCAAACCCCAAAGCCGTCGAGCATAGCATCACCCAAGCCCGGGGCCCGGAATCCCCAACTCTCCCATGCGATGAGCACAGGGTGCAAGTATTGTAGGGTTCTCCAATGGGCCGCCACTGGAGGAGGGTTTAGGGGTTGGGGTTTGGGGGTTTAGGGATTAGGGTTCAGGGATAAGGTTTAGGGTTTAGGGTTTAGGGTTTAGGGTTTAGGGTTTAGGGTTTAGGCAAGTAATGTAGGGGCCTGAAGAATTAGAATAGGGTGTAGGCAAAGTTTAGGATTTAGGGCTTAAGGTGCGATTTTTTTTTAAGATTTAGGGATTAGATTGATCTTTTCGGGGCTTAATGTAGCGGCCTTAATAATTTAGAATAGGGTTTTGGGGCTCCTTTAAAGGGCTCCTTAAAGGGTTCTGTAAGGGTTTAGGGTTTAGGGGCCTTATAATAGTTTGAATAAGGTTTTCTCCTAAGGAGGCCAAAAGACGGACCTTCTTAGTATAAGTAGAATAAGGAACCCTAAGGAATAATATTGGTTAATTTTTTGGCTGCTATAGCACACATCCGACCGAGGAATCAGCCGCATGACGATGTTGAAGCGGGGTTTGGCTATAATGTAGGGGCCTTAATAAGTAGAATAGGGTTTTGGGGGTATGAAATGCTATCATTATCGTAAAGGAAGGAACCCGCAACATGGCGTAGGTAATTCTTCTGGCCCCTATAGTAGGGCTTCGGGTGCTGCTCAGCTCGGCTTCGGTGTCCACCACATCTATCCCGGCAACACGCAAGACAGAACAAACATCAGTCTCACCTTCGGTTAATTGATTGTACAATGCGAGAAAGTTGGTCCGAAATTAGTACCAGAGTTGTCGCCTCTGGTCGGTCTCACCCGACGCTGACCCCTCTTTGGTTAAAGTTTGTCTGAAATTTTTATACCTGGAAAACACGCCCCAAAGCAGGGAATGAACATCAACCCCCCAGAGCCTAAACCTTGAATGCCTGAACCCTAACCCAGAAACCCACACCCCCCAAAAAGTAAACCTACAAGCCCTGAACCTTGAACCCCCCAACTCCCTTAATGAAGAACCCCTAAACCCTAAACCCTAGAACCCTTGAAGAAACCCCTGAAGGGACATTAAACCTCCCCGCAGCTCTCGTCTCCAGCCTTTTTCCGGCGATAACCTATGTCCGCACCTACTTCCTGGCACTCCGAGCTTAGGACCTGGGGTTCGGGTTTTTTGGTTTAGGGCTAGGGTTTAGGGCTTAGGGTTTGGGGTGTAGGGTTTAGGGTTTAAGGCTTTGGGTTTCGGGTTTAGGGCTTGGGGTTTAGGGCTTTGGGTTTAGCGCTGAGGCTTAGGGCTTAGGGTCTAGTGCGTAGGATTCAGGGTTCAGGATAGTGCAGGGGGTTTGGGGTTTGGGGTGGTGACCCC